GGATTTATTTTATTCGACGAAGAAAATGCAGGGTAGGATGAACTTCACGCAAAGATAAGTCGAAATAGTGGAGTCTCTTCCTTTAAGAAAATGGACCCCGATCATTCCTGAATACGCTATTAAGCATGATATAATGCACGTTGATTAGAATACTAGAATTTGTCGATATAGATGAAATTAGGCGAAGGTGGATCTTTTAATGGGTAAAATTGTGACATTTTGACGGGATTGGTAGAATGACATTTTAAAAGGGGTTTGCTCGATCGTCCAGGTCTCACCCCCGATTCTATTCAAATCCGATCTTAATTAATTTAACGTAATTTTGATCACTTTGCGAGCGCAACAATATTAAATTACCAATCACGAAAGGTGTCAGATCTCGCGGTTGTTTCAACGAGTTAAAACGATCATAGAATTTCCTGCGTTGGTGTTTTAATTAAACGTACCGTCTATACGTCAGACTGTTTGATTACTCGATATTTTAATCCTCTTTGAGTGTTACGTGGCTGATGCAATTTGTAATTAAAGAAATATCAAGCTCTCCATACGTTTCTGGAACAGATACATCGACTGAGAAAATTAATTTTTGTTTTTCGATAATCGTTCATCGAATGTATACGTCATATTCTTCTGTCCAAGATCACGCTTTAAATCTAAAATTCGTCTTCTTTTACAGATTAACCCTCTCGTCATGTGAAATTTCCTAGAACAGTAATAGAGAATCCCTGGAATAATATTTGAATTGGGAATTAATTCTCGCATTATTCCGAATGTTGTTCCCAACCTGATTCAAAGGATCGCGTTGGTGCAGCATCGGACTGGATAATTTCAGTCTTTGAGAAGAGATTCTTTCCTCAGATACTAATCGAAGTTAAGATTTAATCTTTCTCGATTGTTATTCCAGTTTTATCAAGTTAGACAGCTTCCTAGACAAGACATATCCCTGATAGTGGCTACATATTTCATTAAAACAGAAGCTGTCTGGTAGAAGTTAATTATTCCATTAGGAACTTCTTTACAAAAGCTCTTAATTAAAGAAAATTTCATTCCTATCCAGCGAAGAGAAGGAAAGCCTGGGAGCGTTTTCGAAATACAAATTTTAATTTACCGTGCCGTCTAATTTGAAGAAACTTTCGAGTCCCTTTAAATATTTCTCATATTTCCTCCGAGTCTATTTTATTTCATCGGGAGAATAACGGGACTTGACATAATTATTTAATACACTCTGCGTTAGTGGCTGCTGTAAGTTTGACTTAATTGAAATAAATTACACTTTGTGATTTGATCGTTAATTCTTGGCAACGTCGGACATCAAGTTCTTTCATCGAAACTTTTTTAATCCTTATCCCTTTTTCCTGCCCGTTTCTTCAACCCTGTTCGAAACTTCAACCCCGTAACGAAAAGAATGTCAAGTAATAAAGGTTCAAAGAAGCTTCCTTCCCGCTATTTCGATGCAACCCAGTCAATTCAGATACGTCTTTATGAGGCATCAAATATTGCCGATACAGCTGCTCCACCTTTACCCTGTAATTTCAGTCCAAATTAAATTTTGGAGTCCCATTGTGCTCGATATCTTCAATATCTTCATTTCATTTTAGAATTAATGAAGTCGTCCCGCGAGTTTAATTCGAATATTCTTTTGAGAATTATTGTATGTACCTTTGGAAGAAACCATTAATTCCTTAGTTTATAATTTAAATATGGTATGCGTGGACAATAATAATTAATATAGTGAGATATAAATAAAGAGATAGGTATATGTAATTACGTTTCTATCTCAGAGAAGGCCGATATTAAATCTGTCAATAGTAGCTGCATGTCTTCAATAGTTGGAAAATTGAAAAATCTATAAGCAAGTATCTCAAGTATTTGGAAACTTTAATATTAAAGTTGTCCAAACTTGTCGTATTTTTTAAAAATAAAATTTCCAATTTTCCATCTTATCTCGTCTTCAATATTAAAACTACCGATCTGCAATATAATTGTACAGAATTACGTTTCTATCTCGAAAAGAGTCGATATTAATTTAACCAAAAGCAACTGCGAGTTCTCGACAACCGGAAGAGCATGGAGTCTATATCCAATCATTTCGAGGACTTTAATAACCCTATTAGTAAAGTCATCTCGTCGAGTCTGAATTTCATTTACGACTTTCTAAAAATATTTACAAAATCGCGCAAACATGGTATTTCTCATCGACATTCAAATATATTTCTCGTTTGCCTTTACTGATATATTCCATCGAAATTTGATCAGCAGCGACCTAGGGTAACCGAATCTTCCGTGCGGAACGAAAAATTTGCAATCAAATTTGTTCCTCGCGTATCTCAATTTAAGTCGATTCGTGCAATTTGTTTCCTCGCTGTTTGATATCGTGATTGAAGACAGACCGACCCCTATATTTCACATCACGACGCAACGGAAAACGAATTCCTGAAATGATTGTTCGCAGCTGGATGGGCCAACGTGTTTGCCGTGAGGTATGAATTTATTAGTTTCATTTTTATGACACGTATCCGTCGAAAAGTTCGGCGATAAATATATTCGTCCTTCGAAAAGACGGCGTCGTTTTGGCCAGGGAAATTGAACGACGCGAAAGCGGATGTCGCAAACAAGCGACGTTGAAAGAACAACGCTGAAGGTTTCGAAGCTGGTGAAAAGCGACACGTGGCTGCTTGATTTCAAGGGGTTAATTCTATTACAAGCCACACGACACAATTAATTTTGTTGCCGAAGTATGCTGCGTGCATGTATGAGGGATTCGATATAGGACGCCTTTAATTTAACGTGATCAGGAACAGATTCCCGATGAAAAGTGTATTCCACATCCACCTTGTAGTTATACATAAACTTCGAATTGGAGTATTCACGTTGCTTATAAATGAGCTTAATATTAATAACAACTTCTTTGAATTAAGCGTAATGTATTATTGAAGTCTTGGAATTTATTATGAAACAATATAATTGTCAATATGTCGCTTCATTATTGAAATAAAAGCATCTGCATCGAATACGAGCCTTGTTTAGCCTAGATATCAAAGAAAACTGGGAAATTATTTTGCATAATAACTAAATGCTGTAAAAGATATTTGCGAATTAATCGAGAGACAGTAATTATTGTAATTCTCTATTTCCTGGATATTTTAATTCCACAATATGAAATAAATTTGTCGAGATTTACAAGGACATTGAGAATGAATTTTTTCGAATCGAGTAAATCAAGTATATAACTTATACGACTTTTTCGGAAGCCAATCTGTCGAATCGAATTTCGCGCGTGTGAACCATAGCGAACGATCGTTCCAAAATTTTGGTTTGAGTTAAATTCGGATAGACCGTTATCGATTTTCTGTCACATTTTTCTGTGAAGAATTTTCCATTTACTAATCACTTTTACGATCTCTGTTTCACGAGACTGAAACGTTTCGATGATTAATTTCGCGAACTTTTTGGAAAGTTATTTTATTTTTATTTATTAATAAATAAGAACGATCATTTCTATATTTCTGCAAGATTCGAGGGTTGATTCATGGGAACATTTAATGTCTAGGCAATAACAGAAACAAGTGTCTGTCTATGCTTTTTACGATCTTTTGAGTAAGTGGCTACAAACATGCGATGCACTGTTTATAGTTGTTTTTACGATCCCGCCAGGCCAATAAAATATATTAATTCTGACGGATCACCAACGCATAAATTTTTCTGTTATTAAGTACCATATTCATTCCAGTGGAAATAAAACGAAACAGGAATATATATATATATATTTTATTTCGACCTTTCGTTGATTGAAATATACATGATCGAAACTGAACCAACTAGAAAACTTGTAAAGCTGAAAACTTCTTCGTTTTACTATTGCGCATTTATGTTTTTGCTCATGTTAATGCAGCAGCTTGGTAAGGTTTAATAAATTTCTCGATACTAAGATTAAACGAGTCTATCGCTATATATTTATATTTTAGTTCGCATGTATCAGAAATGTCATTAAATAATTCTTCGTTTAATTATATTTTAATTTAAGCTGTGTAAGTAAATATCGCATGCTGCGAGACAAAATGCACTTGGTAAACTTGTTACATTTACTTACTTTCTTTGAAAAGTAGTTAATTCTCATTCGTGAGATTAATTGGATACAATTTTCTTACAAAACTTTCATTATACGTACATATATCGAAAATTTTGTAAGAAATCTGCTTATATTTAATTAGCCACAGCTATTTTATTTCAAAGGTAGAATTTAGTATTAGAAAGTTAACCATTGGTAGAATTTGTATAGAAACCTTTGGATATTGCATATTTCAACATATTTTAAGGATCGAATAAAAACAAATAAAGCTTTGAAATTTGTGATGTAAAAAGTAAATGAAAAAATTCTTTAAATCCTTTATAAGTATATACGATGCACTACTTTCATGTAAGAATTTCATTTTGAGCAACGTAAATTTTTTCAAATTTCGTGTTTTTTAATCTCAGGAGCTAAATGAGTTTCCATTATATGTTGTAACAAGAAGTAATGAACGGAATAAAGTAGACGTATTAATGAATGTAATAAGCGATCGTAAATATATCATTTATCATAATGAACTTTTATTGCGAAGGTAAAAATATTTTACTGCCATAGCGAAGATACAAAACTTTAAAATACATTTACCGTTTCCACTATGTACACTAATATATCGTAGTTATTCGTTTACCTTTTTTCAACGTGTGCTACACGTTGGCAGTAAATTGTGTACCCTTATCGTACATACCAACGTTATCATGCTATGGCTTTTTAACAAATATTTGCCTATAGAGATAGCTCTCTGGATCGACAATGTAACAATATTTTGAAACAAAATATTTTTCTTTGGTCGTATAGTATTTAAAAAAGACGCTATTCATATAATTTTTAAATACCTAACATATCACCTTAAAAAACTTAGAGAATATATCAACATGGAAGCTGAAAAAAAGAAATGTCTCGAATAAAACTAGAAGGATAATTCTACACTTACCCCGGAATAAACAGCGCACGCGAAGCTACCCCTCCTCACGGACCGCCAGCAGCAACAGGATTGCATGATAGCCATGCCTCAGATGTGTGAAGGATCTCACATTACACACACGTTTGATCAGAAAATTATTCCGTAGCACGTGAACCAGCGTTAACTACGCGATTTTACGTAACTTACACCGTATGAAAATACCGAAACGTGAAAATGATAGGTTACGACACTTAAACATTGTCGTTTGATCGTTGAACGGGATAAGGTACCGACACACGTGATGGTTCGAGTCTGACTGCCGGCCGTTACGATGTTCGCGGCGCGAAAACTCCAGTTGGCGCATGCGCACCGCTTGTCTGTAGCCTGTAGCTCTCCAGCTGAATAACACGCTTCACATTAGTTGACACATATAGAATTACCATAGTGGGAATACAGGCTTGTATTCACGTTGAAAACAGAATCATAGTCCCGCGGGATATGCATAGAAATATCATGAATACTAATGGAAAAATTTGTCCTCTGAGATGCGCATTTCATTAACTTTCGGTAATAATAACCAAAAGTTTTAAAATGACTTGTTTTGTCATTTTTCGTAATTGTTATTTATTTTCAATACATCTTATTTCTTTATTACCTTTGTGATTATTATTGAAATAAATAAGTGATTAATTTTCTAAAGCAGTTTCCCTTATTTCTTGATTTTTTTTTACAAAACATGTATACCAAGATGGATCATTTTGACACTTCGCGGAACGTAAGTAAATTTTTGATTTCACGAGCTTCTCGTAATATTTAATTCTAAAAAATGTCCAAGCAATGTTTTAGGACACGCAGATAGTCGCATAATTTTCTAACACATTGTTACGCTACGTCACGTCTTTTTTCGAGGGTCGTAAACCTCCATGAATGATTTTTCCATTTCCTTAGGGTGCAGACAAGGGAGAAGTTCCTTTCTTTGTTGCATACCCAGAAATTTTTCGCGAATTTGCTCTTTGAAAAATGGGTTTCCGTGACAAGGTCGACGTTTCACTCGAGCGGACGAAGAAAACGATCGATCGGTTCACGAGCCTCCTTTTACGGGAAGCTTAACTACATCCCGCCTTATAAATATTAAACGAACTCGGTTTCTAGCGTTTCGTGTGTGTTGCTCGAATGTTGGGTCAGGCCAGGAAAATTAATCAATCGATTCGAACGTGTCCTACACAGCCTCTACACCCTCTTCTTTCTTCTGAAAATTCACGGCTTCCTGCATTTTATAGCGAATTATGCATTTTATTCGTCGGCGAACATCAAAGTTTTATGCACGAGTCGTAACGTTTTCATGCTTGGCAGTGATGTTCAGATTATGACACTCGTATCTAGAATGATTCCCCTCAAAGTCACTAACAATCTCTAATGATATTCTAGACCGTCCAACGTTTACGATGGCGCTCATAACGTGCCGCGCTGCATTCTCCACCTTTCGCGCTTACAATGGACAGAGAACAAGGGTCTCGCTCTTTGCTGTAAATCAGGACACCTGTAGACAGCAGAACCTATTCCACAGGATTTATTTCGCGAACATTGACAGAGGAGAATTCGTTCTCGCGAAGGAAGGATACCTTAACGTAGGCAATAGCGTTCTCCACCGCATAGACGCGTGAACCTGCTATAAATTGTGGTGATGGAAGCAGCACGAATGGCGAGGATAGCATAGGAACAAAGGTAGAGTGCTTAATTTCACACTCAATGTGTTCCATTACGTTAAATACGAATTTCCCCCTTTTTTTTCTTTCGATTTGACTTTGTAATTAATTAAAATATGCATTAGCCAACGACTTCCGTTCATTAGTGAAATTTCTCGTTAACGGGAAATTTTTAATTGGAATAATTGTTCGTGTAATTACGCGAATTTTACCAACGAGAGTGTCCAGAACGAGTGCGACAAATTAGTATGGATTTTACGCCTTTGTTTGCCGAGCATTTCTGAGAGTCCGCTTTTCTACCCGAGTTTTAGAGAATTTGGCAACGCAAAATTTGCGAATTTCCGTGGCAGGTTGCATTCTCGTTCTCGTTTCAAGTCGGCGCGGAATTCGTTTTGCCTTTTTGCTGCAGAGAAATGCTTTTAATATACCCTTTTCCGTAATGGCGTGCCGCGTTAAGCGTTTTCCATTAAAAATATGTTGAAAATTAAATATTCGTAAATTAAAATTGTATCTCGAGTTATATTTAATCTTGCACCCTTGGGTATATATTATATATTTAATTTTGAGCTCGAATTAAATTATTTTTCGATTATGCAAAACTAATAATTTCATATTCCCTGCAACTCGGGTAGAATGTTTAAGGGTAGAATAATATTTGGGATAGCTTAGGTTTTCTAAAAAAATAAAAAACTCTGTTTGCCTTGTCTGACATTCGCGTGTATGCCTCGAGGCAAAGATATCCTATGTTTTTACCATACGTATGTATCTCAATACGAAAGGTTCCAAATAAATTTCAGATTCACCCCCTCTTGACCTACCACGAGGGTAGTATATTTATAAATCGACTTTTTTTCAGTATTTCGTTTCTAATACCAAATTCCTTTTTGAGGCACTATCTGAGAGATTTTCGAAACACGAATGTTCAAAAGCATATTTCATATACGAGTCGTTAACACCAGGTTTACGGACGATGTCTATATACCTATTTCTAAGGACACCTGTCAAATTGACAGGTAAAGGAAACCACGTGCCTTTTTCTTTAACGATTAGTTTAATTTAAAAACAATTATATATTATATTAACAGTCTTAATATAAGTTAACTAAATCTGTTATCATCGTATAATTGGAGCAACCCTGGTTCCGTAAATCTAGTGTTAAAAATATTTTAAAAACGATTTAACTAATGATTATAGTTTAACGACCATAAGAAGAAAATAGAATGTTGACTGACTCAGGAGATTCAAAGATCAGTGTTAATTCGATTGTATTTAATGAATGCCCTAACTTCTGTTGTTTCGTGAGAGTTCACGGGAGATTACGGGAGAGAAATAGGAAACTACAGTAAAGCTTGTATGAGAAAAGTTTAAGGCTAATTTAAAAGGCTCGGGTTGGTTGACACGTTTCACAATTTTACGATACAATTTTTTTCTATTGTTTTAAAAGGAAGATAATGTCAGAGTTCAGTGTCTACGTATAAATGTAACAGATACGTGACTATGATAACAGTTGGTGTTGATACCTCGTAGGTGTTCTATGGAAGTTCATTCGCTGTATCGTTAAACAAGCACTAATAAAGGTCGCAGCGAAAATGCTGCTGTTCTTCTCGATAAAGTACAATACTCTTCTTTTTTCTAACTTTTTAATCCTTTCCCTTCCGGCAGCGCTTTGCTTTTAAGCGGAATGGAGAAAGGAGCGGAAATTCACGTCCGGAAACACAATTTAGGAGGCCACGATACCCTTCCATTTTGCTTAGTACACATTTTACCTAGAAACACACTTACCGAGGAAGACAGCGAAATTTATATTGCATATGACATTATCGATGACTCTCGAGAATTTTTTTCAATTTCATAATGTTCATAATATTTCATAACGAATTATTCGAAAATAAATGGAAGATAAGACTTAAGTAAATTTATGTCTTACACATACACGTGTATCTAAAACGTCACGATGTTGCAACGAGATTGTACATGTAAAGGAGAGAGCTTTCTTAAGGATATTTCCGATCCACTCGGTTATAATAGTATTTTCTACGAGACTTCAATATAAACTCAGTCAGGGGACTATTGGTCGTGAAAAATTCGTATATACCTTGTCATATTTTTACATCGGTTATTTTGTAGTTCAACTCCATTTAGAGCTACCTCCTTCCGATTTCAGACATATGTCTCCCTGAATTTGATATCGTTTGAGAACATCTTGGGAATTGATCCGCTGTACTTCTTACCTGTGAAAACTTCCGTCTCTTTTCATATTATTCCCCTTTCCTTTGATATTCTAGTACTATTTTTGTTGTAGATGGAACGCCTCCTTTGCTACTCTACCGCCATTCTTTTCATTTCTGAAATTCATTCTTAGCTATCCACGCGTCGTTTCTCATTTCTTACAGGTGAGGCATTGGCTTGGAAAATTAGGTTTTAGAATTGTCTGAATGGAAAAAATTGTTTCGTCGAATGGGGACATTTATCAAAGTTTAATTTCATCCTAGAAATGTCCCAGGAAGGCAGTATCGAGAGGAAGTTCGTCCTAGTGACAAATTATTTCCCATCACTGACCCGGAGTAGACACATTGTCCACGGAAGTACTTGGAACCAGAAACGTCCATAATAGTCAGCTACTCCAGAAGAACGATTTTAGAGGAATGACCACTGATTAACCCAGACTAGGTATCGTTCATGACATGTGGTTGGTCAAAGGATAGTTGGTGTGTAGCGTAACGTTGGTCAGTGTGGTTCCTATAAGAATCGAAGGTGTAGGAATTAATTAGAACCCCTCGGGAAAAATACGCTGTTACCCATCCTCCCGTGTACTCTTGGCGATCGATGTTCTACCTGGAATAGCACCTGGTTGTCGACAAGTGTTCCAATACATCTTCTCACTTGAGTCGACTTCTGAGTGCATGAATATGTACAGATATGACACATGCATGGTGTAAATTAATTATAAATATCCTATTACCAGACATTGCAAATTTTGTTTAATATTTCTTTCCTTTATTTCAAATAACACGAATAAAAATATGGAATAACCAGCAGTCGAAGTTAGACTTAGTTTCGGAATCAATACTAGAACCATTAAATCAATCAAGATGGCTGGTTTTGAGCACTTTGCTTACTAATTACTGGGTACGGTTTGAAAGTTTGATCAGGAGTATATATCGTAATTTAATAATGCTGAGAATGGAAGCAATTCCGAATATCACGGTGTCGCTGCTAGGTGTATTAATTTAGGATCTCGCTGCATCGAGAACGATGGAGGTGTCGATGTTGCATCGATGGTGTAACCGCAGCGTAAATTTATTTCAAGCTCCTCGTTAAACTTAGGTTTTCGACATCGCGTATTTCCTCGATTTGTCACCTTTACCCCTCGCCCTTCTACCCCTATTAATACATACCAACTTGTTTTGCAAGGTTCATCGCAGTTTACAGGCTCCGAGATATTTCCATGTTTAAGCTGATGGTCGTTCACCGGAAGTTCCGTATCTCCGAGCAAACTGTGCACCGTCATTACCCTATTTCGGGACAATATCGAGTCGAAAGAAATTTCATTTCACTGCAAACTCTACAGGAAATATCCGCTATCGTGAATAGGTATGAAAGAAATTAGACTTGGCTAACAATGGCGGTCGAAACAATCGGAAGTAAAATTCTCGCTGGCACTCGTATTGGGACGGAATTAAAAGGACGTAATAACAAGTGAACTTACGACAAAAGGAGATAGACTTAATAGACCAACTCCGTGACTTTTCCAACTTATTTAATTTGAAATTCTGCATGGTCGTAATACTTGTTGCATTTATATTTAACCAAAGTTTCAAACTTGTCTGGGAAATTTGCGATCGTTGTTGCTCCGTGAGATATTCCACGCTAATTTTACCATTAGTAAAGGTAATTAGTGAAAATATAATTTGGTTATAATTTAATTACAGAAATAAGGATTTAATCGTATTAAACGTAATTTGAAGCTTCGTCGTTGCAGGCCCTAATAATACTTATCGCTGGAGATGTACTTATGAGATTAACCATATTAATTAAATCAAAGGTCAAAGGTTCTCTTGGAAGATGTCGATAAGAAGAGCTACTGGACGATAAGTGTTCTGCACTGAGCTCGATTTTTCGTTCATCGTGTCGATAGACATAAATGGCAGACGATCGATCTAAAAGGTAAAGCGAGTTTTCGATAACTGATTCGTCTTTTCCTTATCGAAGAATTTATTAGCATAGACAGATGGTAGAAAATCAATATCAATATTGAATTTTAGTCGCGTCAAGCCAAATTAAGCACGCCAAGTCGTCCCATGGCGAAAAATATTCTTTCTTATGAATTCTCGATTGACACAACTGTTTTCTATAAATTTTTAAATATGGAAAGTGGCATAATACTTCTTACGTTAAACATTTTTCATTAAATAATTTAGTTATGAAGAAATTTGAAGAAATTCGAATTCGATCACATTTAAATTCTTCGTAAGTCTACTATCTTCTAATTTCTATATCCGTGATAGAATTCTCAACAGTGAAAGACGCCTTTAGGCGGATCTAGGTCGAATGGAAATTTTCTCTTGACAAATTCTTTTCCGCCGCTTTATCCTTTCGAATTCAGCTTTGATAAAATTTTAGAAAAGCTGACGTAGACGTCCCATCTTCTAAACGTAGTTCCGGTGTTAATCGTTAATGACTATCAGGTCCCTCGACGAGCTCTCGAAATGAAGAAGCTTCCATGCGAACATTACGAAATCCTTAATTTCCTGCCCCACTCTCGCTCGTTTTTACATTACTCGTCAATTTGGTATCCTTTGTTAATACGTTCATTTGTGGTCAGTTAAAAGAAACGTTCTCGGAATGTTATTATATTTTGTTCATGTCTTAACGCTAATGAGACATTCAAATTTTTGTATAAGTTTGCAATTGTATATTTCACACTATTTTCGTATAAACTTATGTTTACAATATAGATAATTAGGATATATAATAGTATAGATATATCTAATTACGTATGGATAATTGGAATTCATTTGGTTAATTCGTTTGATTAATTCGTTTGATATCAGTCGACTTACAAAGAGTGAAAGAAGGCAGGTCAGGGGAAACAGGTGAAGAATGAAAATTAGATCGTATAAATTGCAGCACCCTGCTTTGGTTCCGTGAGAAACACCAGATCATCGAACTTGAATCCATCTTTTATTCCACATCGACTGAGCTCCTTTTTCAGCGCATCCACAAATTGAGAAACTTTGTCTTTAGCTACGATGGCCACTATACAACCGCCCCACCTGTGAAAAATTAAATCACGCGGATGCGTCGTTTCATTAATTTCATAATATATTTTAAAGTCTGCTTGGCGAAACTAATTCTAAATGAAATTGTAACGTTAAAACCGAATGAGCTATCAACAGATGCGACGTGTATGCGTCGTTTCATTAATTTCATAATATATTTTAAAGTCTGCTTGGCGAAACTAATTCTAAATGCAATTGTAACGTTAAAACCGAATGAGCTATCAACAGATGTAGTAATCAATAATTTCACATATTTGAAATATTTCAAGCGATATTAAAGCTTCAATAATGTTGAAGACCCATAGCGATTTTATGTTGTTTCGTATAAATAAATATATCGTGGGAAATATTGACGAGAAGAGAATGCTTGATGCAAAGTGTACCAGGAATCAAATTCTTTTTCAACTTCGTACAAAGAAGCAATCTAGTTTTAAAGTCATTTAAAGCGGGTACTCTCTGACATAGCGAAATTCATTGCATTTTCATAGTAAAACGATTAAGCCATCCTCCCATCCAGGAGCCATTTCCTCTTATCCGATCGCGTTATTTTACATTTTCATTTCCATTGGCAAAAGTGTAGTTACCGTAAATGGAATTCTGAGGTTACCAGGGAAGTTTGTAGCTAATGGGATTCCGGGGTATGTCACAAACTTGTCAACAGACATCTATTTCGAGGCTAATGCACACTATCAGATTCGAGATGATCAAAGGAACGAAAACATTTAACAACAATTAAAATTCCATGGAGAAAGATCAGAATTACCGCGAAAACTATCGAAGTTAAAACTTCGGTGGAAACTGAAAATTTATCACCGGCGATTAAGGCGACTTTCCATCGAGCACACTAGCGCCGCCATGACTCGTATTCCCAGTAAGCGTACCGTATCATACACGTGGTCGAATTATTTTCCAACTTCACTGATGCGAGTTTAGAATCTTCTTGTTACGTATAAATTAACGTGAACACGTGTTTCAGTAGTTGAACGAAGCAAATGCAAGCGTGTGGATACTTTCGTGCTTGAGTGTACATATTGGCTCAGGTGGCTGAACTTCTTTCTTTTCGATATCATACGAGTTTCTACATCGAGTATATAACTTTTAGATGTCTTCTTGGTTTCATTTCCTTTGATCACACAGTTCATTCGACATGAATGCATATAAGATGTATCGCCGCTACCTCTCTATACATTCGAATTTGATTTACAGCTGGCACACGTGACGCGACTGTTATCCGGGTAGCAACTTCCACTCACCCGGCTCCCGTGAGTCTTGCTCCGAGTGCTCCACAGGCCATAGCTTGGTCGACGAGCAAGTCAACTCTAGGATGGCTGCACTCGTACAGTTGCTGCAGGCTGGCGTGGCTGTTGGACATCAGGTTGCCTAGCTGTCGTAGCTTCTCATCCTCCGTAATCGAGCTATTCTCGCTGGTACGCTGAAACTCTATCACCCTGGCTGCCTCTAAAATACGCAAGGAAGTTGGTTTGTTTAATCGAGTGCAATTCAATGACCGAACTGATAATACATACACGTGGATGATAGGATACGGAAATTTATTTGCTAATTTAATTATCTATTTATTTATTCAACGCGTTAGCTATCGCGGGTATTTTCCTGGTTTTGCCTTCAGCATCCAAGAGAGATGCCCACATATCAGAACTACATAGCGATGAACCACATAACCATATGTTACATTTCCAAAAAAGATATTTTACGTATTCGTATGTGTATTCCCTGTCTTTAATTGCTATTTTCATATCAATCGTAATCGTTCTTGTTCACGTGATTCACGTACTTTTTATTTGTACACAGTCGATAATAAAAGGAGGAAAGAATTTTATTTTAATGAGAAAATTCGGACCTCTTCGAGGTTCATCCACCACTGCCAGAGTGGAGTGATGGGTCTATGATGATTCTGTATTCGCGTGAAGTGTACATAAAATTCGATCGTTTATGTAATCTCAAAAGTGCTTGGCTATTATTACATATAGCGACACAACGAGCCTAATTGAACCGGAAATTTCGCGAAAATTTTTTACTACGAATGTTACGAGATAAACGAGAGACGTTTCGTGATGTCTGACCGTTGTACGTTTTCGTTTTATATTTCTTCGTCTGTTGATATTCGAAAGGGATATTTCCTTTTTGATTAATGAGATCTAACGTTGGCCTTCAGATAAGCGAAAAGCAGGGGTAGAAAAGCGAATGAAAGCTCTGAGGGGTTTTCTGCGCGGGTTTCGTTACGTTGCCGATAAATTGTATGGCTCGAGTCGGACAGTACGGTTAGACGCGAACAAATGCTGGTTACAATCGATAAACTGTCGTTGCGAAAATTTATTGCCACACGAAGGAATGCATACGAGTGATTGATACGCGATACTGTTTCTTCTAGTCGGGTAAAAAATTATTCTCTCATCCCTTGGCAAACATGACGAAGCAGTATGTTTCCCCTGTTTGTTCTCGATGACTATACGAGAAAGAAAGAACGACGAATTGCAACGAGATTTAATATTCGAAATATCTTGATCATTTTTACGTACTGTTAAATTACTTCTTTGGATAGATGATGGTAAAGTTGCATATATAAATTATTCCGCGGAAAATGCGGTGGAAATCATGCGAGAACTTTTCTGAGAAAAATGGCGGTATGAATAAAGCGTTGTTTACCGCGAGAAATTTCTGCTGGAATTTTTTCGAATTAATGAATACAGGCTTCGTTACGGGGAGGGAAATATTTCTCACACTTTCTGTCCAGCACGAAGCTATTTTTCTATATATAAATTTCAGTACCGTTGTACACATGGAAGGCACGTTGCCTCAGCTTGAAAGTTTGCGTGTCGCTAAAGGATTGTAGCAACGATATTTCTCGGAGTCTTTGGTTCGTTGTGTCAAGGCTTTTAATAATCTGAAAAAACAACGGGTGTCACTATTGGCAGTGATTTCTGAAGTCAGTGAGTTGAAAAATATTTGACATAGCCGTTATAGAAATTTGAAAAAGCCGTTACAGAGAGACAAGAAGCAAGTGATACGATATCTTATGTTTACGATATTTGTCTTCCTTTTTTACGATAGATAAAATTTTCTCAGTGACAACGTTTGAACAGCGATTTCGATATTATCATTAGCGATGTTATGTCAACTGCATACCTCGCTCAGAGTGTATGGTTCCTCGTGAAGGTCGGTTGTTACAACAGAGACCATTTCGCCTAGACTCATACCGAGACTTTCCTGGACGTCTATTAATCTCTTTACGTGTTCCCAAGACTTGTTTCTTTTCTTTGCTATCATCTATAAACGAACGAATTAACTCTGCTTAGAAAGAGCGCAGAGATCTTCAAACGTTCCACGTAGAAACGTTTGAAAGATTAAGTTACAGAAAGGTATTAGCTCTTTGCACTTCACTGGCGCCATCTTGGAGGCATTGACAATCTGCAATGGGTTATTTTATTTTGTCTTCGTCGATAGAAATAAAAAAGCGAATAGGACTGCTAAGATTTATTCTTCGCGTGTGAAGGACTGAAATATATAATAAAAAATAAAGATACAAATTTCTTTTATCACATAGCGACATTTCATCGAGAAACGATGATAAAAGTCTCTCTACGTCTTTGTCCTATCACCCACCACTCAGGAGTTATATCAAACGGCACATACCGTGAGACATCCTGTATAAAAACGAGATAAAGTTGTCTTAAGCTCGTTTGCACGAGTACAAGCTGTTCAAATTGTTCTTGCAAATATGACATTGTACCTGACGGAAGGAGAGTCTCCGCGGAGGAATATCGATTAAATTCGGTTCTTCAACAATCGTAAAACTTAATCGAAACGATATCTCATTAGTTGCTTTGAAATGTTCCAACGAATTTCGAGTGTTCATTACAAATCAATGACCGAATCGAGTGAATGCGTTCCCAAGCCTTCATTATTACCGTTGTATTAATTACTTTATTTCAACATCGGACACTGTTTAATGCACCATTTGACCCACGAAGATCCCGGAAACTTCATTAATCAAATAAGATTCTCAAGCAGAAAATTTATTCGGACTATAAATAATTAATCAATTAATTAATTATGATTAACGTAATGAGGCTTACTTACATTTTATAACACGAGATGTAAATTTAGATGGTTTAAAATTTAACAATACAATATAAATATAGATATATCCTATGAAATTAATTCATACATTACAAATATATTTATATTCTACCAATGTATCTATAGGATAAGATAATTCTATTTATTTACCTTTCTATCTTTCTATCCCTCGATTTTTGAAAATTTTTAACTTCACAGTTACCTGTTTCCAATTATGAGAAACACTATCTAAAATTATTTTAATGAAATTCACAAGTATACAACTACGTTATTTTCAATTCTGACTTTCAAAACAGGATAGCGATAGATAATTACCTATTGAATACAGATTGAATAATGTAATAAAAACGTATAACCTCAAAAGTTAATGAGACAAGTAAATATAGGACGAATACATGTAACCCAAATTGAAAATTATATTGAAAATTGTATAAAAAAGAATTGCGTGTTACCTGTGCTGCTAATCGACATTCCACAACCCTTAAATTATAATCTCTCGTGGAGGCTTTGTTGTGACAAGCCTGGCTGTGCGCTATTACGAACACTGCGGTTTCCGGTAACGTGACGTCGGTACCACACAAGGGGTTGAACTCGATTAGCATTGCAGAACCTTGATGGATATCATGAGTATTACCATAAACATATTCGTAGCCATAAATTACATAATAACGATCGAATGATCGGCGATATCCTCTGAAAAGGAATAAACAATTACCTGCTTTACCGAGGAACGCGATTGCCTGATCCATTCCGCCACCCTGGGTGCCAATGTATCTCTCAGCGTTGGCGCTGATGGTGGCCAGCTTATGCTTCGACAATTGATACTAAAACAGAAAAAATTACGTTCTTTGAAACTTTCATACATTTCGATGATCCTTCACTTTTCTATTATACTGTATGCTTTTAATTCCCAACCATAACACGATGCACACGGGAGCAAATACTTCTCTGTCTCCAAAATATCTGCTGCAAATGGAACCAGTAATTGCAAAAACGAGGGTAAGATCCGGCACCGTTTCAACTACGAGAGCAAACTTGCTTCATTCTTGTCAGCCACGGAAACTTGCACGGTGACGAATCGCTAATTAAATTTGTTTCAACTCTTAAATCAAGTTATACAAGCTGGGAGACGTCGGGATAGGAACGAGCCGAAAACGAAATTCGTTTCCAGTAATTCGTCTGGACAAACGGAGATTTGCATATTCGATTCGCGAGAGCTCTTTTTTGAGTTACGATTGTTCCCGTGATCGACATCGAAGAGAGGAACGAATCGAATAGCTGTCGGTGTCAATGACACTTTCAATTTTCGAACAGCCAAAGGGAAAACGTGTCCTCCGCAATGTTGCCAAAAGGAAACAAAGCCTTTTCATTCAACGATATTTTCAGCCCTGAGAGACCGATCCGATAAAAATCTGCAAAAAAACATGTTAGAAAAGCTTGGTCTTAAAGTTTTAAAAAGTTTGGACTCGAGCAATTATTTGTTAGACACGAATATATTTATAACGTACCAGTAGTCATATTTTCGCCCTTTCGTCCAAAATGAAACATAGTTTTGTTTGTTACAGGATGCTGCCAGTACGGTCGCCATCGTAATTTTGTAATATACTATCCAATATATTTTACAATTTATTTTCTAATATACTTTGCAATATATGATGCATTTGATACAGCAATTTATATTGTAACACACAATGTTCCTTTTCTGTAATATATTCTGCTCACCTTTTCATATTTTATTTTACGTTATATTTTAGATTTCGTTATGCAATATGTTATATATTACATATTACATATATCATATACTTCTCATCTCTTTTATCTTATATTTCCTATCACCCACTTACACTTCCGTCGCTATATTATGGCACTGAACATGTGAAATCCAAAAAAAATCGGCCAATTATTTAAAGTACCGTTCATTCCGTGACAATAAATAAAAAAAACCTAACCCACAAGCGAAATTTCAAAAATCTAAGCGAGAAAAGTTAACTGGATAGTATCGGTCGGCACACACACTCACTTCCGTTACTGTATTTAAAAAATAAACTGCAAAAATGAAAAAAAAATCGGCCCACCAGATAGAGCATAGAACATTTCACGACAACCAAGAGAAAAATTCTAATCAGCACCAGAAAGTTCAAAAATCTAAGCGATAAAAGTCAACAGCGCAGCACGATTTCACAACCACTGACACATTCTGTACTATTTTTGGAAAACGCACGCTCGAAACCGAAAACAAGTAATCAATCCCATTACAGAAAATTCTACTCTATACTGTTAGACGAAAAAATCCGAATCCAAAAGTCTAATTTCGAAGATCGAATTCAAAAAAGTCTATAGCGCAGCACGATCTGACAGCCACTGACACATTCGGCACTATTTCTGGAAAACGCACGCACGAAACCGAAAAAAAGTAATCAATCCCGTTAGAGAAAATTCTGCTCTACGCTATTAAACGAAAAAATCCGAATCCAAAAGCCTAATTTCGAAGATCGAATGCAAAATAGTCTATTGCGCAGGACGATTTCACAGCCACTGACACATTCGGCACTATTTTTGGAAAACGCACGCACGAAACCGAAAAAAAGTAATCAATTCCATTAGAGAAAATTCTACTTTACACTGTTAGACGAAAAAATCCGAATCCAAATGCCTAATTTCGAAGATAGAATCCAAAAAAGTCTATTGCGCAGCACGAT